CAAAGGTCACTCACTACTCTTATTCCAGTTGACCACCCCTTTCATTTTTATTAACTTAGGCCCAGACCATTTCGAATATGATATCTAGAATTTGATCCTTCCTCTTCTAACACAAAGATGAATCTTACCACTCAAACCAACAATTGCTGCTTTCACATAAAAGAATAATAAATTTGATTGATTTTATTATCATTTAATGGTAGTCTCGAGCAAGTTTTGCAATAACAGTAGTAATATGTTAAAATGCAACTCCTCAAATCTATAGATAGTAATATTTATTATATAAAAGTACTTACAAAACAGCAAGCTAGAATTATCTACCGTTATGCATTCCAAAGATCAATTATGTTTGAGGCTTATAAAAAGTACATAAAAGGTTCAAACCAGCACCAAGCTGGAAAAGATCCAGATCAAAAATTCAAAAAGAATACCTCAGCACCACTCAAGCCAAGATCAACAAATAGCAAAGAATTAGTTCAAATCATGTTAAAACCAGAGCAACACAACATCGTTAACGCACACCATCTCATTTTCTTCTCAAAATTAAAAAATCGTGAAAATCTCTTAAAAAATTTAGGTGCACCATTTATTGAGAGGAAATACCCCTGATTGGAGTTTTGCAGCAAATTCTTAGCAAGTTTTGCAGAAAATTATCAGAGCAGTTAAGTTAGCAAGTGGTTGGGCTGAAATAAGTTTGTTCAACTTTTCAAATCATAGATCAAAATCTGACGTGTTTATCTATTATAATTTTCTTTTAAGGTCACAAGGCTACTCAAGAAGACATGAATTGAGCTTAAATATAACACTCTGAAACTGAAAGTACACAGCTCATTTACAGCCCTACTCAAAACCAAATGCAAATTTAATATTTAAAAAAATGCAACATGATAACTTGAGCAAACCATTCAAAAAATTCCATAAAATTGTACAGTTAGACATGATACCCACAGGATCTGTTAAATACTTGTCATACTCCTCATCTGTGTATTTGATTACGTCAACGGATTGCACCACAGCTAGTAAACTAACATTAAATCATAAAAAAAGACAATGATGCCCAAAACTAAATTCAGAAATAAAGCAATGCAAGACATGCATGAAGACAGAGTAAACTCGCATTTACCTTATTATACTTAGCAAAAGAGTAGTCCCCTGTAGGAGGAACACCATTGACAACTCGTACCTGAATTAGGAGAGACAAATAACAATTACTCGCGTGGTCATAATCACAGATTATATACAAAATTATACCGAGATAGTTACTTACCCAATGATAGAGGTGAAGATTATCTTTACGAGCAGAACTAGTGAAAGGAAGCCACTGCCAAGTGACCTGAAGAAGAAGAGAAAAATGTGAAATTATTCAATAGTTAAACCACCAAAGTAATTGAGTACTGCCAAAACAAACAAACAAAAAAAAAAGCAAACCTTTTCGAGAGGAAGAGGCTTTTTCTTCAATTGAGAAGCTTCAATTGCAGGCATAAGAGGTGCGAGTCCACTGGTGAGCGCATAAACCTACAAATACAATACAATTGAATTGAATTCAGTAACCATAAAGAAAATAGAGAATGTAAAATTGGTATTGTTGCAATTGAAAAAGATAGGTACCTCGCGTGAAATGCCATCTGGTTTTCTTTGAGACTCTTTGGGAGGTCGAGACTTCTTCTCGAGAGGTGGAAATGAGTTTTTGGGCAAACCCAGGACATCCTTCGCATCCATATGTTAAGGTCTATTTAGGGTTTCGGCGGCGGAGGCGGCAGAGGGGAAGGTGTGGGAGGGAGGAGAGCGTGGGGGCCGA